TACCGATTCCTGAATTACCATAGGAGAAACCGCAAATTTTGTCCTTATTTTTGTCCTGAGTGGAGTGATCAACTTCAACAGTTTTGGCCCATGACTCGCAAAGCATTGGAAGCAGCCCATCAGGCTCACAAAAAACAGGCTGATAAGAAGAGGACTAAGCCAAAAGAATACAAAGTTGAGGATCGGGTGTTTTTGTCCACCAAGTTTCTTCAAACCACCCAAAAGGTGAAGAAGTTGGGGCTGAAGTATGTAGGTCCGTTCCCCATTGTGAAAATCATGAATCCTGTATCCGTAAGATTGGAGTTCCCTAAGAACCTTAGTAGGATTTATCCTGTGTTTCATGTGAGCTTATTGAAACCGGAGCACACTTCTTCTTTTTGTCCACTTCAACCTGCACCCCCGGCCCCTCTTCTCATTGAAGGAGAGCAACATTTTGAAGTTAAAGATATCTTGTATTTCAGAAAACATAGAAACCACGTTCAGTATCTGGTGTCCTGGAAACATTTCCCCCCTTCTCATGCTGAATGGGTCAACAAATCTCATGTTAGGGCTCCCAGACTTTTGCAGAAATTCTACGCCAAGTAACCTGTGATACAGTGTTATTTGACATTTGCATACTTATATTGTATTTTCTATTGTGTTTTTGTTTTCTTGCAGGGATGACATCTCTTTCTGAAGGAGGGCTGGATGTCAGCCTCTGCTTCACTACTTGCTTTCAGCTGCCATAGAAACTGGTATTTGGGATGGGAAATAATTGGTACAGGAGTGAGTTAAAAGGGGAGTTTTGTTCTCACCATCTTCTGCGCATGCTGATGGCCGATGTTTGGAGTTGGTCAAGGCCAACTGTCCTGCATACCAACCTGATGATGCTTCTTGGAGATGCACCCACATGACACCTAAGGGATTTGCAGATTAGGCAATGGGGTGGGGGTTGTTGGGGGGAGGGGGTTGGGCAAATGTTTGATAAGTATGCTTTCGCGTGTTTCTGCCTCAGACCTCGCTTTACTTTGCTGCTATCTTTTCATAACCAGTAAAAGTATTCTTAATTCTACAAATGGAGTTAAGTGGTTTCTTTCTTGGTTGCTGAAGGAGGTGTGCTTGACATTCAGTAAATAATGATATCCAGTTCTAGCAGCCCTTTTATTTTTATTTTCTATAATAGCAGAATCTCACAGATCTGATTGTAGTGAACCTCTTCCTTCGTTTTATAATTAGGGAAAGGAATGTCTGAGTTATTTTAGGATTAATTAGAATAGAGTGAGAAGACCTTGAAGGTCTTCTATGCCAACCCCTTGCCCAAGGCAGGAGATTTTATATCATCCTGGACAAATGGTTGTCCAATCTTTTTCTGGAAATCACTAGGGAGCATCCGCACTTCTGAGGGCAAGCTGTTCCATTGCTTAGTCATTCTCATCATTGGGAAATTCCTCCTTAGTTACAGGTTGGATCTCCCTGTGATGAGCTTCCACCCATGCTTTCTTGTCCTGCCTTCTGGTGCTTTGGAGAATAGGTTGACCCCCTTTCTCTTGTGACAGCCACTCAAGTACTGGAAGGGAGCTATCACATCATCAACCCTAAACCTTCTCTTCATTAGACTAAACATACCTGGTACGAATTAACCCACAGAACACTTATCATCTTTGTTGCTCTTCTCTGGTAGGTGTAAGCAAAATGTTGTTGAGACCCCAGAAAGAGTGCAGAGAAGAGCAACAAAGACGATTAGGGGACTGGAAGCTAAAGCATATAAAAATTGTTGCAGGAATTGGGTTTGGCCAGTCTAGAGAAAAGAAGGACTCAGAGGGACATGACATCAGTATTCCAATATTTGAGGGGCTGCCACAAAGAAGAGNTTGGGGAAGAAACCACAGAGTCAGGTAGAGCATTCCAGGCATTGACCACTCTGTTGCTGAAGTTGTATTTTCTGCAATCAAGTTTGGAGCAGTTTATCTTAAGTTTGTATCTACTGTGTGCTCATGTATTGTTGTGGTTGAAGCTGAAGTAGTTATTGACAGATAGGACATTGTAGTGGATAATTTTATGTACTACGCTTAGGTCAGACCGAAGGCAGCATAGTTCTAAGTTGTCTAAGCCCAAAATTTCAAGTCTGGTGGCATAAGGTATTCTGTTACAAGCAGAGGAGCAGAGGACTCTTCTCATGAAATACCTCTGGGCTTGCTCAGTTGTATTAATGTCCAATATGCAGTGTGGGTTCCAGACAGATACGTTGTATTCAATAATTGGTCTAGCAAATGTTTTGTATGCTCTGGTTAGTAGTACAATATTACCAGATATTGATCTTATCTAACTCTAAGAAGCTGCTAATCTTTAGTTGAAAAGATTCCTGTCCATAAGTATGAGTGACAATAAATCAATTGAATTAGACTTTCACGTGTGGACCTGATCTTTCCTGCCTGACTCTGGAAGACTGATAAAGATTTAGAAAGCCAGTGTCCTAATATACATGGGATATATGAGTTCTAAATGATAAATAGACCACTTGCTGGGATATTCTTGTAAAGTCATCACTTCCATCTGAATAAGTCTCATTTAAGAAACATATTTAAAAAACTTAAAACACAACATTATTACTTTCCAAAAAGCAGGCTCAAAATTGGGCTTACAGTGCTGATGGGCAAGAGGACCCAACAGGAAGTTGTTAAAATTATTTAGTTGAAATAAGACTATTCCCTCTTTTGCCAAATTTAGATTCTAGGGGAGCATGGAACAGTATCAACCGTTCCCTTCATTAAGAGCTAATGAAGTGGAACAGTAATGTCCACTAGCCATAATCTAGCAGCACATCATGAGATTTCACAAATCAAAATGCTTGGAGAAATAAAACAATTTATCACCCAGTATTTCCAGGATTGTTAGGTAGGGACCAATTACTATCCCATTAGAGACAACATCCAAAATTTTGCTATCTGGGAGCAGATAAATCAATTTCTCTGGCATTATCCCAAGCTTGCTTTTGTGTAAATAAACTCTTTACCCAGCTTTCCAAGAGACATCAATTTCCCCCCTTATTATGCCAACCAAATCCCCATTTCTTAAAATGTGGGATTTTTTTTTTACAATACCAACTAATGGTTCAAAAAAAATGGGGGGGGGGATCAAATATTTTTATATTGTTCTGACATGGAAAGTAGTTTAATTTTGGTCCATGAAGGATAGTAAGAAATGGCTCTTCCACATCCTATGGAAAAATATAACATACAGTGAAGAAATGAGGAGATGGGAGATAATTCTTGTGTCCACAATGTGTCCACATTGAGTCCTACATAGCCAGCTGTCCCATCTGTGTGGCCGCAAAAAGACCACCGGGGAAACTCCAAGGTGTTCTCCAAACTGTTGCATGCCCTGGGGCACCATGGAAGGAGATGTCAATGGACTTCATTGTCGAGTTGCCAGAAAGTCTAGGAAACACCGTGATTTGGGTTATCACCGACCTGTTTTCCAAACAAGTTCATTTTGTGGCGTGTTACAAAATCCCATTAGCTAAGTCATTGGCTTAATTG